AAAAAATATTAGGAGTGTCACAGTCAGGCCAACCAGAAACTCAGTAAGTTCAAAGGGGAAAGACTGGTACATTTGACTACAGGAAATGTTCAGCAAAGTAAAAAATAAACCTAAAAAAGAAGAAGAAAAGTCAAAGGTAAGCTGGAGAAAACTCTGTAATATAAACCAAAGGGGCAATTTCCTTTATATGTCAAGAATAATATAATCATTAAGAATCACTGAAATTCCCAACTGCCAGGGTCAGGGGGTAAGGGCAACGAGGAGATATCGGCTGAATGGCCCAAGCTTTCAGTTTCAAGTCCCTCCCCTAAGTCCCAGTGGTCCATGAACAGCATAATGATTACAGTTAATAAACCCACACTGCTCGCCTGATCCATACCCGTGGACCAGCGGGTCTCACCACACACACACAGAAGGCAGTGACAGATACGGTAATTAGCTTGCTTGTTTTTTTCAGAGACAGAGTCTCACTTTATCACCCTCAGTAGAGTGCTGTGCGGTCACAGCTCACAGCAACCTCCAACTCCTGGGCTTAGGCGATTCTCTTGCCTTAGCCTCCTGAGTAGTACAGGCGCCCACCATGACGCCTGGCTATTTTTTGTTGCCGTTTGGCCGGGGCTGGGTTTAAACCTGTCACCCTCAGTATATAGGGCCAGCACCCTACTTACTGAGCCATAGGCACCGCCCTAGCTTGCTTGTGAACAGTTACTGTTATTTTACTTTTCATTATTATTAATAATTGTGTGATGTGAAACAAGGCATAAGCCAGGCGGGACAAAGGCCATCCCTCATTACACCCAGGAACGCTTCCCTCCAGGGCAATTTCTCAGGTTTGCAGGCACAGTGGCAGGCCCCTCATCTGCCAAGTTGTGCAGGGTCAAGTATAATTCCCTCATCTAGACATAGTATAGTCTGTAACTAGAGTCATCTTTACCATATGACCTTACTATGTCATGTTGCCTAGTGACATAGCTGATGTGCCACCTTTCGGGTTACCCAGCAAACAGGCTATGAAAGTTAACAGGTCAAATTCTCATGCTGAGAATTCACTAACTTGACCCAAAGGAAACCTTTCCTTTTCTAACACAAAGGAGAAGACACCCAGCTTGGCTGGGACTTTTGCCCTTCTCTCTTCTTGGAACAGAAAGGGTACCTGTAGTGACCCAGACACTGTGGGAAGATGAGTCTGAGGTTCAGGTCCAGGGAAGCTACACTGCTAATCGTGACCTCCCAAAGTCACTGAACCAACAGCCTCTCACCCTAGACTTCTTTACCTGAAACACACCTCCCTGTTAGCACAACACTGGGGGCTATTTGGATGCCTGCACCCAAATGCATTCCCCATTCATAAAGGTGCTTAATTTGGAGATGGTTTTCCCATATCCACTATCTGGGACCATCCTTATGACTATCTCTTCCTACTGTTAACATCTCTGGCCCATGAAGGCTTGTTGGACACACGTTCTCTAATATTAAGGGATATACTTTTATCTAATGTCTCTATATTTTTGTAACAATCCAAGAGCTTCTCTCCTGTAGGATCAAGTCTAAATGAAGGTTGTCCACATTGGTTTGAGCTGGGTGCAAGTAATTTTAACTCATCTGAATTGGCCAGCAGCATCCAACCTTGTTCTGATTTGTTTTGGAACCTTCTGAGGTGGTACAGAGAATGGAGACCTCTGGAAAGCCAGGAGCTACAGTCAGAGGTACCCCTGGAGTGGGCACTGTTTCCCTGTCCCTTGCTGCCACCTGCCCCCACAGATGTGAGATTAGTTCAGGAGCCAGGAGAGTTGACTGTCAGAATCATTCCCTAGACAGCTTGAGAGTTCTGTCCACAAAACACCATGATTCATTGAAAAGTGAGCTTCTCGGATCCGCAAGACTCTATTTCACTGGAACAGTGTGACTGGCACATCCCCACCCTGGCTCTGACCACCAAGAAAAATGATACAGAAATATGCTGTATGCAGCCCTGCCCAGAACACGCTGCCTCCTATAAATTGGGAGCCTAACCAAACCCTACTTTAGGGGATGGGAGGTAGGAACAGGGTCTCCCTGCCAGTCACTAGGTCTTAGAAGATTACAACTAGCCAGTCGGGTGAAACCATCATAACCTGCTGTGATCTGATTATCAGTGTAAGCCAATTTGAACCAGCTAAAAAAGCACAGCTGAGACTACGTATCAACTGCTGGCCAAAACCCATTTGGGCCTATCTGGATTGGTCAAAATTGAGTCAAGTCTATTTGAATTGTATAATATTTAGTTCTGACAGTTTTAAAACTAATCTGTTTTAAACATTAGTTTTAACATTAGTTTAAAACAGATGTTCATCCAAGTTGAGCGACAGTAATCCAGTTACAATAGTCAAAACTGTTTAGAGCAGGTTAATCTATTTTGAACCAAGTTGGACCTGGGTTAGCCTGGTTCGAACTAGTCCCTTAGAGGAGAATTTGGAGGCTTCCATTTCGAAGGAATGGCTTCTTTCGAAGAAGGCTGGCATTCTTTATTAAAAAAGAGAACCAGAGTGGGGAAAGGTTTAAAGTCATTTATTTCTGAAGCCTAATTGAACTTACTCCTAAAAATATTTATATGAATTAATTACCAGCTTATTGAAAGAATATAATTTGCATTGTTTATTATAACATATTAGCTGGGGCAAAAATCATCCTCCTGGCAAAGAGAAAAACCCTAATCAAGATGCTCTTTACTCTGATGTTGGAGCACTGGAAGAAAAAGACAGAACTTCCTAAAGGGACGCTGCCCTGTGAGGTCACCTCGGGCACTGCAGATCACACCAAGTCAGCTCGGTCGACTGCCACGCAGGGTGCTTGACACAGCAAGGAGTGATACAGAATAGACTGAGCAGAGTTGTGCTTATTGAAATGCAGCATTAACCTCCTCAAAGTTGCATGAATTTGGATGTCGCTATCTCCACCCTGAGCAAAATGGTAGCTATAATGAACTGCTCATACAGACACATTTCAATCTGTTACTCCAGTCATCGGTGTCATCTGTGATGCAATTAGCAAGGGTGCAATTAAATGAGATGGTCTGCTGATCCTTTTATCAAAGCAGGTACATCACCTGGACACCCCCCCCCCAATGAAGTAGGTCTTTATAGCGTTCAAAGGGGGGGGGGGTAGGGGGAAGGGGAGAGGTCAGATTGAGGGAGGGTGAATGGTAGGACCACACCTATGGTGCATAATGCTAGGGTACATGTTGGATCTATTAAGTATAGAGTATAAATGTCTTAACACAATGACTAAGTAAATGAGACAAGGTCTATATCAACCAGTGTGATGTAAATGCTCCTAATTCTATATGAAATCAGCACATTGTATCCCATAAATGCATTAATGCATACATTATCTGTGTGTTTATGATTTAATAAAAAAAATTAAATAAAAACAAACTAAAAACAAAATGCCCAAGCACCTTGCTGGAAGGTGTGATTTCTAAACAAGCTTCACAAGAGAAAGTCAAAAAGTAAAATCATCATTTATTTTGACAAATGGAACTCCCCCTGAGAGAGAAAATTCAAAATTACTTACCAGCCACAAAACTTGGAAACGATGCCACCTTCTTTGTCTGCTAGGAAATGTGAAAAAAAAAAAAACAAAGACATACCAGTTTGTAAGCAGATTGCCTATTAAAACACAGGCTAAGAAGGGCTAAGATGTGTACCATAAAGAGGAAAGCTAACCGACTGGGATTCCCAAGCAGTCAGCGCCACACAGCAAACGAGTATCACATAGGCAACATGACATTTGGGAGGGGCCCAAAAGCCTACCACGTAAAACACTGGGACCCTCAGATTAGCATACCATGGCTAGAAGGAGCCATCCTGCCCAAAGGGTCTCCGATTCGTGGGCATGAGAATGACCTGGCACATTTTTGAAGTCAAGATAAAGGAGATGGGACACCGCTCCATGGATGGCCATAATTATTTCATCAAAGTTAGAAAATCTCCTCTGAACTATGTTACCCAGAGAGGGGAATTTACTTAAGTCCTCTTTCTAATAATCTCTATCACAGTGGTGTTAGTTTACGTGGGATGGGTTTTGATAAACCATGCTGTTTCTTTAGAACAGTGGTTCTCAACTGGAATATTTTTTATCCCAAGAGGACGTTTGGCAATGTCTGAAGACAGTTTTGGTTTTCGCAACTCAGTGAGGGTGAGGGGTGCAGGGTACAGTGGGTAGGGGGAATTACTAATGGCATCTAGGGGGTAGAGGTGAGGGTGCTGGTTGACACCCCAGAGTGCAGCAGAGAGCACCCCTAGAAGTTACCTAGGCCTGATCCCACAGTGTGCCAGACAGCCCCCAAACAAAGGATTACCTATCCCTGATCTCACAGTACACCACACAGCCCCAAAACAGTTACGTAGGTCTGATTCCACAGTGTGCCAGACAGCCCCCAAACAAACAGTTACCTAGGTCTGATCCAAAAGTGCACCAGACAGCCCCAAACAAAAGGTTGCCTAGGCCTGATTCTACAGTGCACCAGACAGCCCCCAAACAAAGGGTTACTATCCCTAATCCCACAGTATACTAGATAGCCCCCAAAGAGTTACCTAGGCCTGATCCCACAATGCATCAGACAGCCCCCAAACAGTTACCTAGGCCTGATCCCACAGTGCACCAGATAGCCCCCAAACAGTTACCTAGCCCTGATCCCACAGTGTGCCAGACAGCCCCCAAACAAAGGGTTACCTATCCCTGATCCCACAATACACCAGATAGCCCCCAAACAAAGGGTTACCTAGGCCTGATCCCACCGTGTACCAGACAGCCCCCCTAAACAAAGTTACCTAGCCCTGATCCCACAGTGCATCAGACAGTCCCCAAACAGTTACCTAGGCCTGATCCCACAG